CTCCGTGGGTGTGTGTGCATCTCCGTGGGTGTGTGAGCAGCTCCGTGGGTGTGTGAGCCGCTCCGTGGGTGTGTGTGTGTACCTGGTGCACACCTGGGTGTTCCTGGAGCACGCTGGGGTGCAGGGCTGTGGTGGCCACGTGTGTTTGGGCGTGTGGCCTCGCTGCTGTGTCTGTGCTTCCCTGCCTTTTGGGGAGCGGATGAGGACGGCGGCTGTTTGTGCTGGGCTGGGGCCAGCTCGGGTCACGGAGCTGCTGTCACACGTTTTGGGGGAAACAGCCCTGCTGCAGCCTCAGAGCTCCCGAGCACCTGTTAATTGACGTGTTAATGAGGGAGCCGGGGCCCTGCAAGCACCGGGCTGAGCAGGGTTTAAGGGTGTCACCGCCACCCTCCTCCCTCACCCCGTCACACCAACATCATCCCCTCCCCTGCGCTCCGTCCTGCTCGGGAGCCTGAACCAGCCCCGGCAGTGATGGACGAGGTGCCGGGGATGTCACCTCCCCCTAAACAAGGTGGCACCAGCCCCCCGCACGCTGGGAGCATCCCGCATCCCTGTCCCGCCCTGGGGCCGCCCTGGGGCGCTGACCCGGGCCGGGATGGGACGGCACAGTCCAGGCGCGCCGGGGGCGTCCCCCCGGCCGGGAGGGGATGGGTGATGGGTGGGCAGCCCGGGTGTCACCGCGGGTCCCCTGCCAGGGAGGTGCTGCAGATCGACCAGTTCCTGAAGGAGACGGCGGCGCGGGAGGCCAACGCCAAGGTGCGGCTGCAGCGCTTCATCGAGGAGCTGCTGGACCGCGCCGACCGCGCCGAGAAGCAGCTGCAGATCATCAGCAGCAGCTGCGGCACCACCCCCGACGGCAGCCTGGCACGCTGCGGCACCCCGGCCACCAAGGCCATCGCCAGAGCGGGACCTCTGCGGGCACAGGCACGGCACGGCCGCGGGAGCGCGCCCGGGGCTGCGGGAATTCATCCTGGGCTCCGGGAATGCACGTTCTGCTCCGGGAATTCATCCTGGGAATCCTGGGCTCCGGGAATGCACGTTCTGCTCCGGGAATTCATCCTG